AGAAAATTATGCATTTTGTCCTAGAGAATCTTTTGAACTACACTTCACTTGTTTGGACTTCTGGCTCTTATTTAAAATAGGTTTTTGATTGTTTGTTGATAAGGTCAACTTCTAAGTACGAAATAGTCCAACAGTTCCCTGGGCTACTAACCCTCCAGAGTTGTGGGCAAACACACACTTCAAGCCTCCCTGGGTTGTTCTCTGATCACCAGCACTGACAGGGCAGAAAGAAGAGGCTGATAATTTTCATGAGGAAATAAACAAACAACAAAAACAAACAAGCAAGCAGAGACTTGGCTTGCCAGACCTCTAAAGGAAGTTCAAGTATTTAGCAGGGCAGTGTAGGGTGGGATGGTTTGGGATGGTCACATCAAAGAGAAAAACATGCAAAATAATTTGAAACTGCTGAGTCAGAACTTCAGGCCTTTGAACTCCAGTTACTCCTCTCCCTTCCTCTGCCATAGTAAGTGACTCAGCGAGATTCCCTATCAAAACAAAGACCAAAGACTGTTAAGTGGAAGTCCACATGGTCTCCATAAAGTTTTCATGATAACCCTTGATGCTCAGCTCTTTAAAACCAAACTGTGAAATTACCTGGGTTGCAAGGTTTTCTCTTGTATGGCCTTTCTGGCCCTGGGTTTATAATTCTCCCAAAATTGTTAATCTCTCAAAATGACTGGTTAGGCCACAATCTTGCAAATGATTGATATTTTTGCTAGCCAAAAAAAAAAAAAAAAAAAAATCTATCCAGTAAGATAATAGTCAGCCTAGGGGATTATTTGGTTTGCAATCCTGCTGGGAGGGCTATACCTTGAGACTATAAGGGGCCTATTTCACAGATAGCTCTGGAGAAACCTCATGATTGTCATAAGCCTACAATAGAGCCCATGCTTTGGACCCAACATCGCTGCATTGAGAATCTCCTAGACCCAAATAAAAGAACTGTAATGTGGGTCAATAGTGCAACACTGAAGACCAAGAGAGACCGCTGTAGTGGGCCTACAGAGAAAGCTGTGGACCCCCAGGTAGGAAGTCCCCAAAAGAGCTAGCATCCCCCATGGGTTGTTTGCAGAAGCTCAAAAGACTCTGTGCAAGGGTCTTCCTACAGCAAGACAGAGCTGAGAGCCGGGACCAGAGGCAAAGCAAATGCAGCAGGAGTCCTGTGGGCCTCTCCCAAAGGCAGCTGTGTAGGCTCCTCCAATGAGACAGCAACAAGCGCCCGAGCCTGAGTTTGTAAACTGAACCATGTGCACCTCCTGAGTGGCATAAGTATGAATCAGCTCCGACTCATAGTGAGCCTATGTACAAGTGCCCAGTCCCAAGCCATCTTCATAATCATCACTATGTTTGAGCCCATTGTTGCACATACTGTACCAACCCATCTCACCGATGGTTTTCCACTTTTTGATTGTCCCTCTACTTCACCAAGCATGATGTCCTTCTCCAAGGACTGGTCCCCTGCTGATAAAATATCCAAAGTATGTGAGACAAAGTCTCACCATGCTTGCTTTTAAGGAGCATTCTGGCTATACTTCTTGCAAGACAAATGTGTTCCTTCTACCAGTAGTCCATTATATATTTAATACTCTTCAACACCACAGTTAAAGGCATCAATGCTGCTTCAATCTTTCTTCTTCACTGTCCAGCTTTTGCATTCAAATGAGGCTATTGAAAATGCTATGGTTTGGGTAAAGCACACCATAGTCTTTAAGGCAATATCTTTGCCTTTTAACAGTTTAAAGAAACCTTTTGCAGTAGATTTGCCCAAAACAGTTAAGTGCATCTTTTAATTTCTTAACTTTTCTTCTATGGGCTTTGACTGTGGATCCAAGTAAAACTAAATCCCTGACAACTTCAATCTTGTCTCCATTTATCATGATGTGCCTTATTGGTCCAATGGTGAGGATTTTTTTATGTTGAGGTATAATCCATACTGAAAGCTGCAGTTTTTGGTCTTCATCAATAAGTGCTTCAATCTTCTATACTTTCAGTAAGCAAAGTTATGTCATCTGCATACTGCAGGTTGTTAATGAGTTATCCACCAATACTGATGCCTCATTGTTCTTCATATTCTACGGACATGGGTAATTAAGGGGAAGGGTAAATGGTCTCCCTTTGAGATATAAGCAGGTTCCTCTCCTACAAAGTGTGTTATATGTAAAGAGCAGGATCAGTTCACTATAGGTACTGTGTTCCTCCTATTGTTTACCATTTGCTTTCTGTAATAATAATAATCGCTTTCACTTTGCTGATATGTGTGTAGATAGCTTGACCATACTAGATGAAAGTAAAGCCCTGGACAGTGGATGCAGTTCTTATTCCTACCAGTCTTACTGCTGCTTGAAAGTCTGAGGCATAAACTCATACAGCCAGTGCTATTGGTTGGTGTCATGTAACCTGAAACATTTTATCTCAAAACCCTGAACAGTCATATAATCACAGAAACACAACTCCAGCATAAGCAAAGCAGAAACCAGCACACAGTAAATATTGTGGGCAATTTCTTGTTTTGACTGACATTTGCCAGAATTGGGAAGCCAGATTTACCAATCTTGCTTTAAACTGCATGAGAGCTGAATCAAGAGGACTTGGCTCTCAGACAAAGAAGAGACATGTTCCCCAGAGCATCCCCAAAGTCATGTGTTTGTGTATGTGTACATGTGTGCCCCTGTGCATGTGTGAAAGAGAGAGACAGAGACAGAGAGAGAGGTTTTGGCACTAAGTACTGCATTGAGTCTTCAGAGACAGCTACCCTCAAAGCCAAATCAGAGCTCTCACCAAAAACCAAACACACTGAAGTCCAGTTGATTGTGACTTAGAGCGACCCCTCCTTGAGTTTCCGAGGCAGTGTCTCTACAGAAGTATATAGTCCAATCTTCCTTCCGAGGAGTGGCTGGTGGGTTAGAACTGCCAGCTTCTGGTTAGCAGTCAAATGCCTTAGGCACTATGCCCTATGCCCCCAGAGCTCCTAGTATTAAAGAAGCCAAAAAAAAAAAAAAAAAAACTGCTGTGGAGTGGATTCTGACTCATATCTACCCCTCCCTGGGTTTCCGAGGTGGTATATCTGTGGATGTAGATTGCCCAATCTTCCTTCTGAGGAGTGGCTGGTGGGTTTGAACTGCCAGCTTTCTGGTTAGCAGTCAAATGCCTTAGGCACTACGCCATCAAAGCTCTACCTCGCTCTATTTTTTTTTTAAATTAGTAACAAAGTACAGTCATGTATCACTTAACGTCCACAATACATTCTGTGAAACAGGGCTTTAAGTAATTTGGTCATTGTACAAACATGACTAACCAATAGCATTCACTGCTTTTCCACCTTCATGTTGTTTAATAACACTTCGTTTCACTTCCAGACTGACACTTCTCTTTTGCCTCTTGCTGCTGCTGTCACTAGCACTTGTTTTGCCTTATTTGGGAGCCATGTTGCACTTCACAGTAATATTTTCAAAAGAAAATTAAACAGAGAGATAAAGTGACAACACTGAAGAGACACACCATACATGGGATTGGATGCTGTCTAGCAGTTGAAGCATACACTATTAAATGGTAAACTTTTTAAATAGAAAGTACAGTACATACATAAGCCAGTAACATAGGTATTTATTATGACTATCCAGACATACGTCTTATAGGTTATATATACTGTACCATTATATGCCTGGCAGTGCAATTGCTTTGTGTACAAGAGACATGAGATACATGTGTTGGGTTCAGGAAGCTATTGCATTTGGGATGTTTCCTTCTCTGGCGGCTTTTCTGAACTCTACTGCAATCTTATGAACCATGGACATACATACAGCGGACACTGCCAGAACAGATGTTATGGAGCAGCATTTCACTTAAATTAGTTTTAAAGGGAGTGTGTGTGGGCATCATGATCTTTGAAAGTGAAGGCTCAGATGGCATTGTACATATTTCATCAACCTCTATTTATTCTAAACCAAAATCCACTGTCATGAGTCAATTCCAAGTCATAGCAACCCCCATTGGGTTTCTAAAGCTGTAAATCTTTACCAAAGTAGATTACCTCATCATCCTCCCATAGAGCAGCTGGTGGGTTTGAACCGCTGACCTTTTGGTTAGCAGCCAAATGTCTTACCCACTAAGCCATCAGAGCTCCTTATTCTAGACCAGTGGACCTCAACACTGTTGTCTATTAGAAATCACCCGCAGAGTTTGTTAAACAGATTGTTGGGCCCCGTCCCCATAGTTTTAGATTCAGTAAGTCTTGACTGGGGATGAAAACTTACGTTTCTAACAAGTTCAGGTGATGCCGATGCTCCTTGTGCAGGATCACACTCAGACTCACTACTGTACCAGGCATTGTAGTAAGTGCTGGAAATGAATGAAATCGGTCCAGCCCGCATGAAACCTAGTGGCACCCAGGTAAAAAGAAATGAAGGCCCCATAAATTCTATGGGAGGGGGAGGAGTTCTATAGTAATCTGGAGGGACAGAAATTTACATCCCAGAGGTGAGTGGAAAATTCAGCAGCTCTCCTTCCGCCCAGGGCAGATTTAGGCCTCGGGGCTTCCAATTCACCAGCTTTCTTTCTCTGTAAGAAATGCAGCTTTTCTTTCCTTTCCCAAGGAGCAAAGCACATCGAGATGCAAGATGTAAACAAGTGAAGTGGAGGCGGAATTGTGACGGTTGAGCAATCTACTTCCGTAGTGATACCACCTCTGAAACTGCAGGAGGGGTGACTGAGTCGGATCCGACTCCACGGTAGTGTGTTTGGTTTTGTGTTTGGTCCTCCTCCCCCCAGCGGAGCGGCCTTACCGGCGCTGGCACTTCCTTCCCCTGCTGAGCCCTGACCTCCCCGCCTGTTTTCTCCTCTCTCCGTTGCCCTCTAGGCGCCCCGCGGCCGCTGTCAGGATCCAACGCCTCCGGGGCCCAGCTTGACTAGTCCTGCCCAGGTCAGCTGCCCCCTCATAGTTTTCCTAACTTTGAGCTCTCGCTTCCAGCAGCTCCCGGGGGAAGTGCCTGCCGCGGACTCACCGACAGCCGGAGCAGAGGTCCCGGAGTTAGGGGGCGCCAGGGGCAGCCCCAAGCCGGGGCAGTAGCACCAGATGGCTAGAACGCAGTAGACGAATGCGCCCAGCAGCGCCATCGCCGGGCCGCGGCCCGCACCGTGGAGGCTCCGGCTCTCCAGAGGCTCCATTCAGGCAGGGGGACCCTGGCATCTGGAGGAGCCAGCAGAGGGCTTCAGGGTGAACGCCTAACCGATCACGTGTGAGGGCAGCCTCTGCTGGTGGACTTGTCTGCTTGTGAGCTGCGGTCATGGGATTATCTGCCCTCTAGTAACTTATGTCAGTGACTGGCCTAGGAAGGAATGTTCTTGGGCCAACCCCAAGCAGATCCTCTTCCTTAAATGCCCCATGGCCCTAAACAAATGAGATTCCTCAGCAGAAGTGGAGAAAACCCTGAAGTATCATGGTCTGGAAACGGATAAGGCCAGCAGAAGTTTTGGATAGATCAAAACTAAAACTCACCTCACTGCCAGCAGTGTATCCCAACTCATGGTTTACATAAAGATTAAACCCAAAGCTGTACATCTTTATGTAAGCAAACTGCCTCATCTTTTTCCCACAGAGCAGCCCTTGGGTTTGAATCACGCACCTTCTGGTTAGCAGCCAAAGGCCTTAACACTATACCACTAGAGCTCCTTTTGGGCAGGCCTGTGGGTCTCTGGACCAGCAACATTGGCACACACCACCTGAAAAATCTAGTAGAAATGCAAATCATCAGGCCCCACCCCAGGCCTCCTGCATCTGAAACACTGGGGATGGAGCCCTGTGATTTATGTTTTCAGAGCTTTCCAGGAAGGCTGAAGTGACACTAATGTTTGAAAACCATTGCTCAGACACTAAGCTTTCTACAACTGAGAATGGTGCTTTATATACCTCAGAAAACAAAACAAAAACCCAAACCCAGTACTATCAAGTTGATTCTGACTCATAGTGACCCCCATTGGGTTTTGGAGGGTGTAACTCTTTAAGGAAGTAGATTGTCTTATCTTCCTTCAGCTGAGCACCTGGTGGGTTTGAACCACTAACCTTCTGGCTAGCAGTCAAATGCCTTAGGCACTGTGGCACCAGAGCCCCCAGAGATGAACGGAAATCACAACTGGAGGCTATTGATTTTATTCTTCCAAGATTTTTTTTTTTTTTTCCTTTCAAATACTTAGTCTGGCAAAGGAGGCTAGATCTCCAAACTGTATTGGATGTGTTTTCTGTTTTGTCTCAACATGCTGAACTCTTCAAAAACATATGGTTTACATTTATAGGTTGTGGATTCCT